TGAAACCTAATATCAGATTGCCACATTTGCAAACTTTGACAGTGAATTTTCTGGAAATAGTGGACCCCATAATGTGAAATGTTTGGAATAAATAGCATTTGTGTAAAATATAACACAACAGAATTTAAATTACAACTCAAGATTCTGTGTGATACCATTTGGAACATAGATCCAGGTATAAATGAATTCATTCTGGTCATATTTTAAGTGAAATGTTGTCTCTTCTAATTTGATGTTGAAGATAAGTCAGAATTTATTACACTATTTGGCATTAAAACAAATTGGGAGAATATATCAATCTGACATTTGTTAGCTGGGTGACCTTAAACAAGTTACCTCATGTCTTTTTACCTCACTTTACTTCACATTGTAAAGTGCTTAACACAATGCCTGACATAGGGCAAACATTATATGAATATTAATTATTATTAGTTATTATTATTAGTTCCTTAATTAGAAGTAATTGCTTCATACTTGATAACTGTATGTGGGGTTTTAGATGTGATCAATATGCAATACCACTGGTGATGAGATGCCTGATTTTCTGTGTAAGGTAATTTGGAAATGCAGTCAGCTGGAATGAGGTCAACTGATCAGTAATGGGTTTGTTTCAAGTTTCAAATACATAATATTGTTTACGGTTTGTTATGTTTCCAATTTTTTTACATTGTGCAGATTGGTAAATTATTGTATCATTTATGAACTGAAAGATTCTAATTGTTTAAAACCAGTTATGCTATTTTCTCGGCCTTGCCAACTCAGTTTTTAGTGTTTTGTAACTGCCCTTTAGAAAACTGGATATCTCCACCTTTGCTGGTAGTTAAGACGAGGTCACATCTATAACTATTTTGTTATCACTAATGAAAGTGTAAAGAGTGTTAACTGAGTTATCTGGGGTTATTGTCATAATGTTAAAACCTGAAATTGGCTTGGTTCTGTTTATTCAGAGCAGTCTGCCTTGGGGTATGTAGGTGTGCTGTGGTGTTAGTGTATTCCACCTTGGAAGGGGAGGGGGGGTCAAAGAACATAGCCCACAGCAGCTCTGAGGGTAGATGGGGTGGGCAGGCTCAGCCTCTACTCTGGAGTCCCTGTCAATTGCCCTTATTTCATAAACTTGCCAAGTTCCTGGAAGTCATCTGTGAGGGCCAGGTCATCAGCCTGGGAAATGAGCTAGTTTGGGTTATGGAGTTCCTAAACAATGAACTTGGCTTGCTAAGGATTTGCAAGTTTATGTATAATATAGAAATGATTTCCAGTGATTGATCTTTATACCAGGAAGAGTTTGAACTGAAGACGAGGAGTACAAAAACAAGTGAAAAATGCTAAGTGAAATCTCTTATATACATTTGAGCCCTGGTAAACTTTGGTTGCTCATTGCAACTCCACGAGAAGAAAAATAACTATATCCAACCCTACACTGTGATTAGTGACACTTGCCATTTGAGACTTGGGACTGTAACTGATATTGTTTTGAGGTTTGAGTTCAATTATAATTGTGTGATGGATCACTAAGTCAGTAACCCACCATTTCGAGAGAAATGCCTCGAGCTATGCAGAGAGGACATAATCCTGAACTGCTTGTTATGGGTGGAGGTCTGGATCTGGGAAGAAGCCTAGAGGATGACCTTGGCATAGTCTAAATAGTCTCCTGGCTCAGTCTCCCCATAGGGTTACTTCCTTCAGAACAGGAATGTTTAATTGCTACTGCACGCCTGGTTGTTGTCAACCGTGACTCTTACCTGAAGTCAAACAGAGCTAAGGATGTTTTATCTGCCATATATGACCAGTTCCATGCTGTTATAATGAATCCCTGCTTTTACCTTTTATGGCAAATTTCTATAACCTGAGCAAGTGTTCAATAGAAGACATGGGTGCAACGCAAGTGTGTAAGTTTTTGCTGTTTCAACCCAAATGAGTAGTCATTCCATATCCCAAACAACTAGGTAAATTAATACTCGGGCTTGTCATCTGCCTGCTAACGTTTACATGGTCATGCATAAGATTAAATCCCTCATTCCTCCTGAATAATATGGGAATACTTGGACAAAGGCATGAAACAAAGATGCAACTGCAATGTTATATCATTATCCAATGGACTAAGAGTGGGTTACATCTGAGCTGCTGATATACAATGTATGTGTGTAAGATCTGAGCTACTCATTACATATGTGTATATATATATATATATATCTACATATATACATACACATATATAAGTATCCTTTCTATATTCGAAACAACTTGGTAAATGAGTATTTGGCCTAGCCACCTGCCTGTTACTAGGTATATATACCTATAAAATAAAGTCCAAACATGTTTCAAAATGATGTCAGAATCATTGGGTATTGAAACAACTATTTGTGGGACTTAGCTGTTACTTTATTAATTATCAAAGCGAAATCAGAAACATCTTCAGTTTGGTTTGAAAAAGAAAATTTTAGTGCAATCGCTTTTCTTACAATGGAGTAACTTCTAGAATATTTTGTGTTACTTAGTGGAAAAGTCATTTTTATTCAAGTTTATTACTGTTGTGGAAATGACACTTGTTTGTACCGCGTGTTCTGTGGTACACATTTATTATAAACAGCTTATTTGATATTCGCAGTTTTGAACCTGATTACTCGAACGTCATCCTGAGTGTTTTGCCATAACTGCAGTTAACTTGGTGACTTTTATGTGACTTCATCTGTGTATCTTGGGTCATCTTCATGTCGTCAAATGCCATTCTATGACATTCTAAGACAAATGTCTCCTATGACTTCATCCATGTCCGATTCTGCTCCTCCTATGTGGGGGAGGGGGAGGGTAAAGGAGAATTGAATTGAATCAGAATTTAAATTGAATGGTGTTTAAATTTGCAGTTCTAAAATAATTAAGTTAATTGGTAAACATTGTGAAATTTAAAAAAAAGATCTGAGTAAAGTTTTTGAGGGACAAGAAGTTCAAATGAATATATATGTAATTTGGAAGGTTTTGTGAGTTCTGCCTTCTGAGGTATTTAAAATGTTTGGTTTGTACTTGGATGTCTTATGTCTATCAATGTATCAGGAACCCTTTAGCGCGATGTGACCAGTGTTTACATCAGGTGCCAGGTTTAGAGTGAGATAGAAACAGCACTGGGTGTTGGCAACCGAAATTCCCTGAAGCTTTGGGCGAACTCTGGGTCCCTGCTTTCGGGTTCTCCCTTTTGCTGCTGTTCTAGGTTAGATTAGAACTGCAAGGCTTGAACGGGTTTTCATGACATGAACTATTATTGGGGCAGTAAACTGTGAGACTCTGCCAACTTGCATTGAGACCCATGCTGTAAGGGATTCTGGCAGAACCTCTGAATAGCTTCTCTGGGTGATTTGGAAGCAGAACAGAATAGTCAGTGGAGGGAGGCCCTTGAGGACACGGCATTTTTCAGACTGCCCTGAGGAGAGAGGTGCCAGGGCCCTGACGGCAGCGTGGCACGCCTGAGATCCAGACTGGCTGGATGGACGCAGGACAGGAGGAGTGCGAGGCAGGGAGGCTCGATGCCCAGTGCTGCCCCCTGGGCTTTTATTTTCTGCATCTGTCTCCTCAGTTCTCTCGTTTATCTTGGTGCTGTTAGATTTTCCCCTTCAAATTAGGCCCCATTGTGGCCATTCTTACTATGGTTTGTGCTGTGCTTGGTTAATGGCTCCGGTCCCGCTTTGTACGGGGCTGTCCCAGGGAGCATCCCCACTGCGCTCTCTGTGGTCATCGGTGTACCCAGGGTCACCTCTGACCAGCGGCGGGAGGTGCCCCTGAACTTGTCTTTTTGTGTTGCCGTATTTTCCAGAAACACTGGAGCCAGAGGGTGCAGGAGGCCCTGGAGGTGGCAAGGATGGAGCCCCCTGAGCTGACACAACGTTTGCCCCCCAAGCTGGACTCCCTGTGTGTCCTCGGGTCTGTGCCAGGCTGGGGCCCTTTTCGGATAGGCGGACCCTCCTATCTTCACAGTCTGGCCAGGGGTGGGGAAGCCACATGCGGCCCTCTAGGTCCTCCAGGGCGGCCCTGTGACTGAATACAAAGAATGTGGCTTTTGCTGTGGTCATGCTTGTGCCCTCACCTGTCCCCATCGTGCCACACCCCTTGCTGTTTCCTCCTCCTCCTCTTTTGTACTGTCACAAAGGTGCAGACTTCTGCACCATCTGAGAACTCTTCTGGTTCCACATGCACGCTCATTTCTCTTGTAACCAACCTAGTGATGCTGCCTTGCCTGCAGACAGGGCCCAGGTGCGGCATTTTTATTAATTATTGCTAGCATGGTTAATGAAATGATTAATTAGCCAGAAGCTTTTTACACATCACACCCATTTGGGGTTTCTCGGCACAGGTGCTGGGGCAGTCTGTCGTTTCCTTCCCCAGATAATTTTACAGATGAGGAAACTGAGGTACACAGGGTGAAGTGACTTGTCCAGGGTCACACAGCTAGTAAGTGTGTGAGCCCAGGTGTGCATTCAGGGGCAGGGCTCTATCCAATGTGCCACCTAGCTACCCAATAACAACTAGCATTTATACAGAGTTTTAGGGTTAGTGCTTTACAAATATGTGATCCTCATGTCAACCCTGGGAGCTATTATCCCCATTTTATAGTTCAGGAAGCTGAGGCAAGCAGAAGTTAAGTGACTTGCCCAGGGTCACAAAGTATCTAAGGCAGGATCTGAACCCAAGTCCCTTGCTCTATCTAGCTCTCTGGGTCTCAGTTTCCCAAACTGTAGTATGAGGTTGGCCCAGACGGCCTCTGGGGTCTAGTTCCCGCAAGCCTATAGGGAGTCTGAGGTTGGCTGGGGTCTGGGAGGTGACGGGTTAAGGCGACCTCCTGGCTGCCGCTAGGGACAAGCGCACAAGACACTGCGGCGCAGCCTGGGACTACGTTTCCCAGGATGCCACTCGGCGATTAGACGCAGTCGCCATGGAGCCCAAGGGACGACCGGAAGAAAGCCTCCACCTCGTGCGTCACATCCGCTTTCGGCTTTGCTTCAAGTCTCAGGCAGCCGGGCCGCCTCGGTTCGGCTCCGAGCTCAACCGCTGCCACCTAGCTCGAGGCTTGCCTCCCCAGCCAGGGTGAGTGGGGAGCCAGAAACTTGGCCGGGAGGGGCGGGAGGTCAGACACAGGGCGCTGGAGTCGGGTTCTAGGGAAGATGGGGGGAGGGGAGGCTGCCACTGAAACGCATGTGCGGGGGAGGGGGGGGCGCGCGCCGCCCAGCAGCCGCCCCTCCCGCGTGATCGGGTGCGTCCATTGGCCATCCCGGGGGGGCGTGGCCTGGCGGCCTATCCGCGGCGGAGCCGAGCTTAGGGAGCCGCCCCGCCCTGCAGCCTCCAGGCGCCGCCCTGCGGGGGCGGGGGAGTGGAGCCTCCTGCACCTGCCGCGGCTGCGCATTTAGAGCGCGTGCCTGGAGGGTGAGTTCTCTCTCGTTTTGGCCTCCCGCTCTGAGTCTGACCCCCCCCCTTCTGATACCGGCCCTTTGCTGTTCGGTCATGTGACCTATTCTTGGGAATGAGCCTCTGCCTTCCCTTCCCCCTCCCTTCTCCCCCTCTCTCTTCCCTCCCCCTCCCCTTTCTCCTTCCTCTTCCCTCTTTCTTCCTCCCTCCCCCTCCCCTTCTGCCTCCCCTCCCCCTCCCTTCCCCTCCCCTTTCTCCTTCCTCTTCCCTCCCCCCTCCCTTTCTGCCTCCCCTCCCCCCTCCTGCCTCCCCTCCCCCTCCCTCCTCCTCCCCTTTCTCCTTCCTCTTCCCTTTCTTCTTCCCTCCCCCTCATGCCTCCCCTCCCCCTCCCCTTTCTCCTTCCTCTTCCCTTT